AAAAAAAAACCCTACACAGAGGTGCACAACTACCCTTCTTAGAAAGGACTAACTCGTTTGCCCCTATTGGGCACATGTTTTGCAGATCCCGCAATTCCGCGGTTACAGAGGTTGCCTTCCTTTGTGTGAACTCCCAGCAGTTCTGTTGCAGCTGAAGGGCACAGCCGCTTCCTGAACAGACGGGCAGTGCCACACAGGCCAGGCCCCTGCTTGTGCAGCAGGAGCCAAGGCCGAGCAGGCCGGCGCCTCGCACGCAACAGCCCCGCGCAGGCGAAGGGGAGACCGCACTGACCARTGCTGCAAAACACAAGCTCAGCACCTGCCTGGATAATTTCTAAAACAACCCACCTCCTGGCATTTACAGATGCTGCAAACTGCAGGGAGAAAAGGGCATGCGAAAAAGTATATATGTTTCTTTGTTAAACAGAATTCCGCATTTCTGGAACGCCTCTCCCAGAGCCGCTCCTCTGGCAGTCGGGGCTGAGAGAAGGGCAGGTGCCGGCGGTGCCGCTCACCCCGCGGGCGGCCCGGACGGGGTCAGTCCCTGCAGCGGTGGGCACTACCCTGCTTTGGTTTGGTTGGGTTTCGTTTGGAAGGAGCACCGCACGCTTCGAAACATGCAGCAAATTGACAACCAAGCTCTCGGGTGATACAGTCGAGGTGTCACCTCCCAAGGAAACACTCTGAGGAAGGAACTTAGACCRTTTTGCTTAGGCACTAGCATCATCTTGCTGAGTCCTTACCAGTCCTTGGGAAAACTCTGATCCATTTAAGGACTTTTGCTGTGTTTAACACCCCACTCTACCTGACAATAATACTCTCTTTAGAACTCTGCCCCTATCCGTGTTTCCTTAACACCGTTTTTAGACACCTCCTTGCTGAAGAGGCAAGTCCAGAATCCCTGTCCTGCAGCACTGCCATCAGGGTGCGAGCACAAGGGGGATCCTGTGCAACGAGATCCGCCTTTTAAGTAACACAGATGCCCTCCGAGACCTCGAGGGCAGCGCTCACAAACCCCCAGAATCCAGGACTTCTTTCCCATGTCGGGATCCTGCATGTATTGACACAATTCCCCAGTATGCAGAGAGTTATTTCAAAGGGGCAACAAGCAACCTGTAAGCTACTGCTGTATTGTCAGCATCCCCTTCTGCTCTCACCTTCGCTGCAGACTGAAAAGGAGATCGGACACTGAAAACCACCCCCCGGGGGTGGYGCGAAGAAAACTCCGCTTGGCTTCTGCACCTGGGTTCCTCAGAGCCTGACTTACCTCAGGAATAACCAAAACTCCTCCCTGCAAGCAGCATCTTCAGCAGCTCCTGCAAAATTCTGCATGTCCTTCCTCTCAATCCACTCCCCACATCACACAAGGCCAATAACTTCCATCAGCTTCCACGTTAGTTCTCTTAGGACTGAAATAAGCGGGAGACAAATCCACTTCTCCACAGGTAGYGTCTATAGATGAAAAAATCTTACGTCACTTCTCACCAATTACTGACTTGAGGCTCTAACGCCACCAAATCTGCAGTCAAAACCAGAAGAAAACATTTACACAGAATRTTTTTTTTACAGTTTGCCACAGTTGCCTAAAAAGAGCATTAACAGCAGATGTGCATGTGCTGTAATGTTAGCTCCTTAAAAATAAATTGCTCTGACACTGGTACCAGATGTGGGAGACTGCTCTTCAGCAGACTTCCGATTTCAGGTTGTACCAGGTAAGGTACCCAGAGCCTTGGTTTCTACGACCTTAGGAACAGGGATTGTGCCAACTTGCCACCTCACACCGACACTATCGCAAAGAACACAGAACATACGGCGATGCTGCCAGCACGTGCTGCTTCTGGCTTCTTAATGCATGGGATTGCTAAGTAAGAGYGTTTTGCCCTCAAATAAGCTCCTCCTTGGCTAGCAACAATTCGGAGCCTGAAACAAGAGGTACAAGATGCGATGACAAAGACCCTGCTCACAGACATGAATACAGGAGATGGCGTCAGCAGCAAAACTGTGTCTGTCTTTCACTTGGTTTTACAGCAGCTTTTAACTCCCAACTAGTGAAACTGTTTTTTCTCCCTTTCACTGACAAACTTCAAGTTGGTTTTGCTTTGAAGCCTACCAGTGAGCAGCACGGGTGGCACTGCAGCTTCCAGGACAGCCCACGTGCCTCCTTGGCAGGCAGAGGAGAGGGGGACGTGTGACGGATGCCCTGCACATGGGCTGCCTGCAACCCCGCAGCCCTCCCTTTGCTCCTGTCCTTTCCAGCTGACCCCCTGTCGGGCAGCGATCCCAGTCATCCCAGTAGGATCTGCTGGACCCTCTTCACCGCCTAATGCCCTGAGTGTGTTGCCCGCGCTGCCGACCTGCTGCAGGAACTGAGCCTCAGAAAAGCCCACGCTGAAACCGCAGCAACAAGCGCACACTGCCAGCGGGCCCAGCAGCGGGTGGCAGGAAAAGCCCTCAATAGAGCCAGTCTGCATCAGTAGTGATGGTTGTGATGAGGTGAAAAAGTAAAAACGAAGAACTCGACTGGATATTGCACGGCAAGACCGATTCCAGCAAGTCTCCATTTAACAAGCTAAAGGGAAAACAGCAAGTTTGGAAATAAGCCGCGTTCAAACCCCGCCAGTTGGAGCAGGGGGGTTGGACTATGTGATCCCTAGAGGTCCCTTCCAACCTCAACCACTCTGTGATTCTGTGATCTTAAAAATCCTACCGCAACTTCTGCTTGAGCCTTTCATTGTTAGGCAAAGAATATGAAGCACCTGAGATGAGAAGCCCCCAATCTGACTGGGCCCAAGGTTTATTCCTGTTCCAGCCACCTTCACCTGTGCCATCAACCGAACTGCTACTGCCAAAATGGACTCAAACACCCTCTCCAACCCTGCAGACATCAGGAATAAATGATCTGTGATTAGCAGGGATTCCTTCATCCTTTCCGAGCCAATCGTGTCTGCCATCTCCTGGTATTTTTCGCGGAAACAAAAGCGCTCCCTGCACAAAGGCGCTCCGGAGCAGCGATCCTGCTGCCCACAATGGCTGCTTTCAAGGCGACCTTGCCCTCGCTGAAGCGCGATACTTCCCGGCCTGCTCCCAAATGACAGCTCTTTAACCTGGGATAAGCAGGAAGAGGAGGGGGAAGAGCGCGAGGGGGAGCAGGGACAAAGGAGGAGGGCTGTTTTATCCCAAAGGCACCCCAAAGGGACAGAAGGACCCGCGCGCCCCRGAGAACTCGCAGGGGAGCCAGCCCTGAGCGCGTCTCCGTGCAGGCCTATACTGGGCAGGTAGTGCCGGAGATCCCGGAGCCCGACGGCTCCCGCGTTTATCCAAGCTCAGAGGGGATTACAGCCGCAGACGCCAGGAAAGAGTCCGCGTGGCGGGGGGAAGGATAAGGAGGATGAGGAGGAGAGGGCACACAACCTAAGCTCGAGGATGGGAGAGAAAAGCAGCAGACTTTGATTGATCTGATGAGCCTATTTAGGTCACAGCACAATAAAGCTAATTCATTCCTTTGACGATTCAAAACCTCTCTCCACAGACCCTCTCTCACGCACACAGGTCACTGGGGAGAAAAGGAAGAATCGAGGCAAAGCTGCACGGAGATAAAGCCGTGATTTCTCTTGGTTAGTGCATCTCCTGACAAATATTTCAACTACAAACAGTTGAACCAGTAGCATTTAGTGAATGTTTAATTTTATTTAATGCTTTTTGTTTCAAATCGCAGGGCACAAACCTTTTCCTTTGGCCGCTGCAGCACCTCAGCTAAGGCAACATTGGTTCACAGGGGAATATTTTGGTCTGTCCGTGAGAAAACTCTTCTAAAACTCCATCCAAAAACCATTCTCATTTTCATTTCCAGCCAACCTTAATGGTAACTCTGCCGTGGCTTTCCCCCAAGATGTGATCAGAGCTAGAAYGGCTGCACTATCAGCCGGGTTGTGCAGCTCCCTGTCTTGCCTTTGCTCCAAGAGCGGGTCACAGGGAAGAGAGGGATATTCAGAAGGGGCCACGTTTCAAGCTCCCTCGGAGGCCGGACCACGTGAGCCCTGCCATTGGCTTTTGGAGCACCCGG